TTTTGTACCAGGGACTGAACCCAGGACCTTGTGCTAGTGAGGCAGGTGGTGGCACCACTGAGCTACATCCCCAGCAACTGACACCAGTTCTAAAGCACAGTCAGGACACAAAAATGACTCTGTCCAGTTGAATAAATACAGAAAAGACACTGGCTCCTTAAGAGACACAAGCTACCACACATTCAAGGAGAAATCAGTAGACAGAATAGTCCTTTACCATGACAGAAGTGGGATGTGTCATTCGAAGCCTTTCAAAAAGGAAAACTCCAGGCCCATCTTGGCTTACTGGTAAATTCTAACAAGAAAAGAGCGCCAGTGTCCCACAGTTGCTTTCAGAAAAGACAAGAAACACTTTCAGATCACTACAGTAGTAGCCAACTTTGCCCTGATAGCCCATATCACCCCAAAACCCAACCCTGCCCCACTGTCCACTACCTTGATGACAACACCACCGTGGTGCTCAGCATAACCCCACGTCCAGTTCTGTAACACTTACCTTTGTCTGTCCCAGTTCCCAGCACTGCCCCACACCCAGTGTTATCCCAGTATTAAAACCAGAACCCGCAATATAACAAAACTGCAAATCAATGCCCCTCGAGAGCAAGACTCCAAAGCCCTCAGAAGTAGCAGCACATCGAAGCCGGCAGCACAGCCCCGGGGTAATACTGCGTCACACCCTCTCAGGGGTGCTCGGGGTACAGCCTGGATGCTCCCACAGTATTCCGACAGACCGAGGCAGGCTCACCTCGGGGATGCAGAAGAAAACATATCTACTCGTCGTCGTGGCCCAAGCCTTCAGCAAACCAGGAATAGACCGACTTTCCTGCCAGCTCCAAGCAGCGCTGCACAAACCGCCCCTACAAGACACCCGGACACAGGCAGCCTCTTCCTGGGGGGCGGGCTGAGGTTTCCAGAAGATGAGTGGTGGCAGCACTCCAGCCCTGCTGGTGGCCAGGATCTCCCTGCTGTGGTGCACTGAGCTGCCCTGCAGCCCACAGCTTAAAATGACTCCAGCCATTGCTAGCACCCAGGCCCCTCAGGTCGAGGATCCAGGCTGAAGAGGGCGGGGAGCTGGTCTCTGCCCCAGTGTCCAGGCCCCTTCTCCCACAAGTCGCTGGAACTGGCTGCTGGCAGAGACCTGGGCCGGAGCCAGAACTCCCCTCCTTGGGGCCTGGCACCTGAATGCCAGGGTGCCCAGAAAGAGTGCTAGGCAGGACCCACGCTGCTGTTGGAAGTCAGGAGGCATCACTTCCTTGCTTCTTACTCAGCTACCGGGTCTGAGAGAGCTGCCTGGGCTGAGGAGGTTGCAGTCCACCGTGGAGAGGCTCCCAGGCTGTGCTGGGAGCATCAGGCTCTCCCATCCTCTGTGGACCTCTGCTTTCTGCCTGCCATACTCCAGGGCTGCTGTTTGTCCTTGCCCAAGGCACAGCAGCCCCAGGCTTCTGAAACGAGCCACCGGGGAGCCGGGCTGATGGCTCTACCCTCGGCTCCCTCAGTGCCTGTGGTGGCTCCTTTACCTGAGTTGAGCTCCAGACTCCTCCCGAGACACGGACAGGGAGGCAAAAGAAGGGCAAGCTTCCAGCAGCCACCTGGAGGGACAGGAGGGTGGGGCAGGTGAGGAGCCTCCATCCCCACGTCCTTGGAAGCTGCTGGGCGACACCCATACTGCTCCACACGAGACAGGCAGCCTGTCCTTCGCCCTGTGGACAGCAGGACCCAGCTGGCCTCAGGACTGGAGGGCAGCCGCGGGGCTCTCAGATGCTGTGAGGTGGGTGGCGTGGGCTGACCGGCACCCTGTGCTGGTGCCAGGAGGAGAGGAAGGAACCAGCGCCTGGCCCTCAAGGGAGCAGAAGGGGAGGCGCAGGGTGTGGCGGGACTTCACCAGGGAAAGGGCCCGGCAGGCAGTGGAGGAACTTCTGTCACGGGCAGGAAGGGAGCTACATCCCCACCCGGCGACCTCCAGGCCAGGGTGAGAATAGAGGTCACGGCGGGGCAGAGGCGAGGGA